AAAAAGAGATGAAGAAGGAGGAGACGGTGAAGCTCATCAGCGCCGAGGGCTTCGAGTTTGTTGTCGACAAGAAAGCTGCCATGGTCTCCCACACGATCCGCAATATGCTCACTTCTCCAGGTATCTTCTCCTTCTTCTTGGAAAATTAATTCGGGTTAGGGTTCTGATTTTCTGACTTTGGCTTCTTTCGATCTCGTATGATAGGTAGTTTCGCGGAGACGCAGCACGGCGAGGTTACTTTCCCAGAGATTAGTACTCCAATTCTGGAGAAGATCTGCCAATATTTCTATTGGTCGCTTCAATTTGCCAGGTACCTGTTCATCATCTTCTTATTTTTCATAATTTTCTTTCTGAACTGCAATTTCATATACCTTAAAATTAACTAGACCTGGAGACTGGTTTAAGCAGAATGGTTTTTCTTATGTTCTGATTAAGTTGGGATGCTCAAGTTTCTCCTCGTACCGTGCATTCAAAATGTAATTATAATACCTATCATATACAGTAGGAAGTCTTTGTTTCTGAAATACAGAATTCCCAAGTTTTATTTTTTTTCCTCCTCGTGAGTTTCTTATGTTGATTGTAGAGGTGTTAATTGAGAATGACTTTTATGATTAAGTTATTGCATTGTCACTTATGCTTTGGCTTTTTTACCTATATTCCTTTTAATAATGCGGTTATAAATTGAATATTTCACAAGAATAGTTTGTTATTACGTTGCCATGGGTTTACCTTGCCCTTTTAAAATGTCATTAATAAAAGGAAGACAAGGGAATATTGCTCTTTTCAGTAATTTTATTGAAAGACATTGCTCATTCTAATTCAAACATTCTATCTCAGTAAGTTATGTAACATTGCCTTTATTTTTTTAGTTTTGATAGTCATGTACATTTTGTATTTTGGATTCCTTATCATGCTTTTTGTTAGCATTTAAAATCTTTGTACATATTACATTACTACAGCCATAGATTAACTATTAAGGTTGTACTTCTACGGTTATGACTTTATGGACCTCATTGATTTGGGTGTGAGCCATTAAAGTGCTTGATGCTCATAATTTGGTCATTAATTGCTTCAAAATTAATTTAGTTTGTACCAATTCAAATCAATTAAATCAATAATCTACAAGTTTAGCTTAGTTATGTCAAGCAAAGGGAAGATACTTTGGAATAAATAACTTCAAATTATTGCATTTTGATTAAATTTTATTTGATTTGTATTAGTTTTTAGATTACTTGGTCATCCATCATCATGTACATTAATATTCTTAGTTTAGCTCTTATTTCTACTTAATTGGACAAATTTTATGGCTTGAATTGAAATTGAAGTCAAAGCGATAAATAATTTTTTTTTCTCAATTTCCAATCCTATTAAATCCAAACCTGACTCAAGGTTGAATTAACTTAATAAGCATATCTCAAGAAATAAATTTAAAGGATAAGTGCTTTGAAGCTCTTAATTTAATAAATGTGGCTATTGCCATCCATCAGAAGGCTGAAAGATAATTATGGCTGTTTTTTAGTGTGTGTGTCTGTATCTATAACTATATATTTATAATATATATATATGTATGTATGTATGAATGATTAAAATGAAGAAATGCCTCATATGTTTTGTACGATATGAGTATGTCTTGTAGATTTAAGTATAAATTTAAGAAAACCATAATTAGGCCATCAATATTGTATAAACTCAAATATTGGGCTGTAAAAATGTTATTAATATTTAGGTTTAGTGCGGTAGATATGAGAATGTTAAGATGAATTCATAGCAAATTTTGTAATGATATATTAAGAAACAATTCTATGAAAGGAGATGTTGAGGTGAGATTTCTTAACGACATGATGATTGAAAATAAACTCAGGTTTCTTGGACATCTACAATGAAGTGTAATAAGTATGTCCATTAGATGAGTA